CACACACACACACACACACACACACACACACACACACACACACACACACACACACACACACACACACACACACAAAGGCCTAGTGGATTTCTCAGTCCCAGACCTAACTCGGCTCAGGCTCTCCCGTGGTATCAGCCTGCCATACTCACCACAGCCCAACCTCTTCAGTTGTGTGCTTAGTACCTGTTTTCCTCATCACAGGCCGAGTACTTGGAGCACTAACTGGCACATAACAAGGGTTCAGGACATTCTTGCCAAATGAGCACTTCTAACCTTTCAAGTACAGGTTATGAAGAATGTTGAGATCTGGCTCTGCCCATTAATCCTGACCTGCTTCCTCTCACAACTCCCCTAAATTCTGCTTCCGTCTCTGGAGATTATCATCATCATCATCATCATCATCATCATCATCATCATTATTTAAGACAGGATTATTATTTAAGACAGGATTTGATTGATCCAAGTTCACCTCAGACTTATAATCTTCCACCTTAGATTCCTGAGTACTGGAAATTAGCACATACAGTCTTTTTTTGTTGTTGTTGTTGGTCGTGGGACTTGAACTCTGGGCCTGGGCGCTGTCCCTCAGCTCTTCAGCTCAAGGCTAGCGCTCTACCACTTGAGCTACAACCACTTCTGGTTTTCTGGTGGTTTATTGGCGATAAGAGTTTCACGGACTTTCCTGCCCAGGCTGACTTTGAACCACGATCCTCAGATCTCAGCCTCCTGAGTAGCTAGGATGATAGGCATAAGCCACCAGCGCCCAGCTGCTGTGTTTTTCTTTTTAAAAAAATGTTTTTTTGTGTGTTTTGTTTTTGTTTGTGAGATGATTCTTCAGGACTTTTTTTTTTTGTGCCAATCATGGTGCCTGAACTCTGGGCCTGGGCGCTGTCCCTCAGCTTTTCAGCTCAAGGCTAGTGCTCTACCACTTGAGCCACAGCACCACTTCCAGCTTTTTCTGCTTATGTGGTGCTGAGGATTCGAACCCAGGATCTCATGCATGCAAGGCAAGCACTCTACCACTGAGCCACCTTCCCAGCCCCTCTTCAGGACTTTTCTACCCAAGCTGGCTTTGATTCTCTCCATCGCGGCCTCCTGAATAGCTAAAATCGGAAGCATGAAGGCGAGAATCATTTGTGGATCCATTCTTTCTCTGTACGGTCCAGTTCCCAAGTCACTTCCTCTGGAAAGCCTACACCTGCTTCTTCTTATTAGTGGAGTGTGTGTGTGTGTGTGTGTGTGTGTGTGTGTGTGTGTGTGTGCCAGTATTGGAGATTAAACTCAGGGCCTAGGCACTGTCCCTTAGCTTTTCTGCTCATGAATGGTGCTCCACCACTTGAACCACAGCGTCACTTCCAGCCTTTTGGTGGTTCATTGGCTGCCCAAGCTGGCTTTGAACCATGATCTTCAGATCTCAACCTCCTGAATAGCTCAGATGACAGGCGTGAAGCACTGGAACCTGGCTGCACCTGTTTCGTCGACTTCCCTAGGTATGAAAAGGAAGGCCTCACTTTTGGTGTAAATACTAGATGACGTGCCTTGTGTTGTCCCCGCCCACCCCCCACCCCCCACTCCCCACCTTGTGTAATGACTTGTAAACCCTGGAGGCAGGTACCGTGTCCTTGTCAGCTTGCTCCTTCACAGAATAAGGGAGCAGCAAGTCTTGGCTAAATGGTCATTGATTGCTCTTAGGAATCCATTCTAACTTTACAAGGCTTCTTAGCTCCTGCAGTGCCTTCCACCAAATAGCCACAGGGCCAAGGCACCCCACAGAGGGGTAACTAACCCTGCACCCTCAGATAGCTGAGACCTGAAGGCCGAGGGCCTAGAAGGACTGCAGTGAGGGATCAGGAATCCCACAGCAAAAAATTCCCACCTGAGGGCTGGGAAGGTGGCTCAGTGGTAGAGTGCTTGCCTAGCATGCATGGAGCCCTGGGTTCGATTCCTCAGTACCATATACACAGAAAAAGCCAGGAGTAGCACTGTGGTTCAAATGGTAGAGTGCTAGACTTGAGCCAAAGAAGCTCAGGGACAGTGCCTAGGCCCTGAGTTCAAGCCCCAAGACTGGCACAAAAATAGCAATAATAATAATTCCCACCTGACATAAATCCTAATTGACTTTGCAGACAACCACAAAGGTGAATTCCAACCTGCCCTGTCACCTGCTCTCCTGTCCCCTGCATGGGTTGTTTGCTCCCTAGGGCCCCCGGGTTCCACTCACAATAATGTGAGTTTACAGGTGAGGCCTTTTTGAATGGGACTGAGAGCCGGGCACTGGTGGCTCAGGCCTGTCATTTTAGCAACTCAGGAGGCTGAGCTCTGAGGATGGCAGTTCAAAGCCAGCTCAGGCAGGAAAGTCGGTGAGACTCTTATTACCAGAAAGTCAAAAGTGGGGCGATGTGGGTCAAGTGGTAGAGCAGCAGGGCCTGAGTTCAAGTTCCAGTGGCAGCACATGCGCACTGGAATGGGGTTGGAGAGGCAGGCTGACTCTCCTCAGGCTGATCAGCAACAGTCTCAGCCCCGTTGAGTACAGACAGCCGTGGGAATCCACATGCACCGTGCACAGATTTCTCCATGTGTGATGAATACACATTTATCCTGTTGGGGCTGTAAGCAGAACCCAGCAGAGACAGCAGCAAGGCCCACTAATACAAATGGTTCTGAGTGTGTGGCTTCCTTCAGAGCAAGGGCAGACATGAGTCCAGAACATTCCTAGGGGCTTACTAAAAAGCCCAGCAGGAGAAACAAGACTTGCCCAGAGCAAGTCAGAACCAGGCTTGCAGCCCAGAAAACTGGGTGTGAAAATGTAGCCCTTCTGGATCCTTCCCAAGGAATGGGGGGGTGGAGAGGAGGAGAGGTAGGGGGGAATAAATAGAAACAAAGTAGCCAGCACCCAGGCTGGCCAGTGATCTAACCCAGGGGAGAAGCTTACTGTAGCTGAGACTGGAACACCTCTCTCCCCTTGGGGTACCCCGCACCCTCCCACCCCCAACCAGGTCCCCAGATGGCCATTCAGAAAGGTAGCAGAGAAGATCTCCCCCCACACACACACACACATACCCAGCCGCCAAACACAGGTGGGAAGAAGAAAGCACACGATTGGTTGATCTTCCCTGTCACTTCAGGTCCAGGGCCAATCAGTGGCCCAACCTGCCAGAAAGGACCCCGCCCTTCCAGGCTGACTCTAACCAGGAGAGCTGCCCTCAGCCTGAATTCCTCTGGTCCTTCTTGTTGATGGGGTTCTGCAACCTTAGGGAGGGGCGCCTGCACCCAGGGAGGCAGGGTTGGGCCAGGAGAGGTCTCAAGGGGGGTGTGGATAAATGGATACAGTGCAAGAACTTGGCCAGGGAGTTGCCAGAAATTCCCTGGGGCACAGGAAAGGGGGTGTCCGGCAAAGAGACGCTGTTTCAGAAGATCTATATTGTATCCAGTGGTACAGTGGCTCATGCCTGTAATCCTAGCTACTCAGGAGGCCTGAGATCTGAGGATCATTCTTTGAAGCCAACCTGAGCAGGAAAGTCTATATGAGATTCTTATCCTCCAATGAACCATCAAAAAGCCAGAAGTGAAGGTGTGGGCCAAGTGATAGAGTGCCAGCCTTGAATGCACAAATGCCACATTCAGGCATCTCCCAAGAGTAACACAACATTGGTGTATTTGTGTGTGTGTGTGTGTGTGTGTGTGTGTTCCAGGGCTTGAACTCATGGCCTTGAGCTCTAGCTTGGCTTTTTCACTCAAGGCTAGCTCTCTCCCACCTGCAGCCACACCTCCACTTCCAACTTTTTTCTGGTTGGTTGGAGATAAGAGTCTCATGGACTTTTCTGTCCAGGCTAGCTTTGAACCTCAAACCCCTCAGATCTCAGATCCTGAGTAGCTAGGATCACTCCATTGCCTAGTTCAACCCAGCATTTCAAAGACCATGGAGTCCAGAGCTGGGAAGCCTGGAATCAAAGTCACACATCAGTCCCTCCTGTTACAATAAGGCTTGCTACATTTCTCATACTGAGTGGAGAGAGTTGCTTCAACCCCTCAGCCCTGGGAACTGTCTTTCATTTCTGCAACCCCCGCCCCCAGTGGGCGCAGCATGAAGTAGGTGCTTAGTAAATGTCAAATGAGTATAAACATGATGGCTGGATTATAAACATTATATATATATATATATATATATATACATGCAATGAGCCCATAAACCCCTCCAAAAATGACCAAACAGGAAATAAGATCTATTTGCTTTCACTATATATTACGTAGGTATGAAACATATATTAGTATATATGTAAATAATTATATGTGATATATACATATATGTAATATATAAATATAATAAATATTACAGATATGTGTAATATATGACATAATATATAACAGTAGAATATATTATATATAGTATACATCTATACATATAAAAGGTAGTATATTACTATATACACCTATGTGTATATTGTGTTGGTATTTGGGCCTGGGTACTATCCTTTAATTTTTTGCTCAGTCATGGTGCTCTACTCCATGAGCCACACCTCCATTTCTGGCTTTTTACTAGTTAATTGAACATAAGACTCTCACAGACTTTTCTGCCTGGGCTAGCTTCAAACCAAGATCCTCAGATTTCAACCTCCTAAGGAGCTAGGATGACAGGCGTGAGCCACCAGTGCTTGACACTGCTAAAATATTTTAAGAAGTAATTCCTTCTAGCCAAAAATCAGAGCAAGAACTTCACTGACAAACACAGTATTATTGAGGTAGCCAGGTCCTGGACCCTGAGATCAGAAGCTAACCATGATAGTAGCCCTGCACCAACTTTGGGAACCCCCTAAGTTAATGGTTAGAGAACCCTGAAAGTTCCTGTGTACCCCATTCCTGACCAGGCTGTAACTCAGACAGGCATGTGGAAGACTACACAGTCCAAATGGGAAGAACTAGGCAGGTATCAGTGGCTCATGCCTGTCATCCTGGCTACTCAGGAAGTCAAGCTCTGAGGATCAGGGTGCAAAACCAGTATGGGCAGGAAAGACCATATGACTCCAAGAAACTATTCAGAAAAAGCCTGAAGTGGCGCTGTGGCTCAAGTGGTAGAGTGCTGGCCTTGAGCAAAAGAAGCTCAGGGATAGAGCCCAGGCCCAGAGTTCAAGCCTCAGGACTGGCAAAAACAAACAAACAAACGAATAGATGGGAAGGACTTAGTGACTCAGACACATCGTGAAATGTCATGCACTAGTTATTAAATTGTGGCCATGTTGCTTGGTGCTGGTAGCTCATACCTTGAACCCTAGCTACTCAGGAGGCTGAGATCTCCCAATGGAGATTCAAAGCTAGGAAAGTCCTTGAGACACTTATTTCCAAGGAACCAGTAAAAAGCCAGAAGTGGAGCTACGGCTCCCATAGGAGAGTGCTCTCAGGGACAGTGCTTTTGCCCAGGATGGGTACCAGAAAAAAGAAGAAGAAGAAATGTACATGTTGAGCCTGTGTTTGTCTCTGCCATCTGTTCAGTAATGGTACATGAAACCACTGGATGTCATTAGCAGGTCCCGCCCAGTGGCCCGCAGGGTGGTCCCCAGGGGAGGATCTGTGCATTCTGGGGGAACCCAGTGTCCCCTACTTCCCCCCACCCCGGGGCTGGATGAGAGCTAAGTGCCCAGGAGCAATGTGATCTGTCCATACCTAGGACACTTTAGGTGGGAGCCTGGGTCAGCCAGGCCATCAGGAGACTCTTAGAACTGGGGGGGGGGAAGGGGGAGGGTTGGATTGACAGACAGACAGGCCGTGTGGGAGCGGATGTGGGGATACAATGTCCCCAGAGTCAGCCCCAGGCCAGGCCTGGGCTCATGCCCCAGGTCGCTGGTGGTGGTGGTGATCTCCAAGCCTGGGGTAGGCCTCAGTGGGATCCCCGATCTCCCCCCATCCCCCGGGCTGGATGGAGGTGTGGGGGGGTCCTCCAGGTGGGGTCTCCCCCACCAGGTGAGGCCTTGGGTCCCCTCAGCCCCCCGGGGGGGGAGCCCCCCTGCACTCACCGCCCCCCGTGGGTCCGGGCTGGGCCGAGGACACCTGGCCTGCGGCAGGTGCCCCGAAGGCCTCCTCATCGTCGTTCTCGATGCCGGCGATCTCGCTCTCCTGCTGGGCCAGGAAGGCGGCCGCCGGGTCTTCCTCGGCCGCCACCGCCGCCGCCGCCGTCTCGGGGACCCCGCTGTCGGACGACGAGAAGAAGCCGAAGTCATCAGCCATGTTGTCCGTCCCTCCCACCCCACCCCCGACACCGTGCGGGGCGGCGAGACTCTCGGCTGGCTACGCCCGGGCCTGGCGCGGGGACGGACGGACGGACGGACGGACGGACAGGCGGGCGGCGCTGGGGCTGGGGAGGGGGGCGGAGGCCCCGCACTTCCTCCTCCTCCTCCGCCACCCGGGCCCGGCTCGCCTGTCACTGCGGCTGCAGGGCGGGAGGAGCCCGGGGACCGGAATGCGGTGATGTCACCGGCCGAGGGAGGGGACCCGCGGGCACGGGGGGGGGGGCACCCCGGCTCCAGCGGCCCGGATCTGCTCCTGACTCATGCGGCTGCTGGATGGACGGATCAGCACCCCCCCCCAGGCTCCCACCCCTCCCTGGGCCGGCCCCCCACCCCGGGAACCCCACATCTGGAGAGGCCAGGTGGAGGGGGTCACTGCATCTGCACACAGCGTCTGTGGAGGGTCACCCCCCCCCGCGGGTGGGAGACGTTTCTGACCCCTGGATCCTCAGGTCTCCAGGCTGCTGAGTAGCTAGGATGACTGACAATCTAGGTCACCAACACTTTGTCTGTTCATGAAGTCTTGAACTCAGGGCCCTGAGCGCCAGCCCTGAGATTTTCTCGCCCGAGACCAGTAGTGCTCTACCACTGGAGCCACAGCTCCGCCGCTGCCTTTCTGCTTTTTAAACTTTGAAGCTGAGTTTAGGAATATCTAGTAGAACAAGACGTGGAATAGGAGTTGATGGGCGGATTGGTTCACATGTCACACGTTCCGTATGTTTTCATTTCTATTTTATATACTTTTTGCAGTGCTGGGGTTTGAACTTGGGGCCTGGGAGCTGTCGCTGCGCTTCTTTTGCTCAAGGTGAGTACTCTACCACTTGAGCCACAGCGCCATTTCTGGCTTTTTCTGTTTCTGTGGTACTGAGGAATCGAACCCAGGGCTTCATGCATGCTGTCCAGGATGGCTTTGAACCACCACCTTTGGATTTCAACCTAGTGAGAAGCTTGAGTGACAGGTGTGAGCCACCAGCGCCTGCTCTTTCTTTGTTTTGAAACAACACGGTCGCCGGGCACTGGGCGCTGGTGGCTCACACCTGTAATCCTAGCTACTCAGGAGGCTGAGATCTGAGGATCGAGGTTCAAAGCCAGCCCGGGCAGGAGAGACCGTGAGACTCCTATCTCCAATAAACCACCAGAAAACCAGAAGTGGTGCTGTAGCTCCAGTGGTAGAGCGCTCGCCTTCCTTGAGCTGAAGAACTGAGGGACAGCACCCAAGCCCCATGACCAACCAAAAAGAAAAAGAAAAAAGAAAGAAACAATACGGTCTCCCTAATTTACTTGCCTGGGGCTGGTCTTGAACTCAAGATTCTCCTGTCTTTGTGTCCACAGTATCTTATTCTCTGGGATTACAGATGTGTACCACTCTGCCATCATTGGGGTTTTTTTGTTGTTGTTATTAGTCATAAGGCTTGAACTCTGACCTGGGCACTGTCCCTCAGCTCTTCAACTCAAAGCAGGCTCTCTACCACTTGAGCCACAGCACCACTTCGGGTTTTCTAAGTTGTTTATTGGAGATAAGAGTCTCATGGACTTTCCCGCCCAGGCTGGCTTTGAATTGTGATCCTCAGATCTCAGCCTCCTGAGTGGCTAGGATGACAGGCGTGAACCCCCAGTGCCCAGCTCATCATTGGGATTTTGATAGGGGCTTTGTTAAATGTATAGATCACTCTGAGTTGCATTGCTATGTTAACAATATTGTCTTTTCAATATGTGAACATGGATGTCTATTTTTTGTCTTCTTAATTTCTCTCAGTGGTGTTTTACAGTTGTCATTGTACAAATCTGAGTAAAAAAATCTGACAAAATACCTGAGCAAAACTTAGAAGAAAGGCTTTATTTGGGCTCACAGTTTCAGAATCTCCATCCAGTTTTGATTCTGGCTTCTAAGCCTGCGCATGCGTGCTGAGGCAGAATACCAGGGCACTGCAGGTAAGAAAGTGGCCGATAGGGGGCAGAGTCCAGGAGCTATGACCTATTTCCTTGCACCAGGCTCCACCTCCATTGGATAAAATAATCAAAACTAGCCTGGCATTGATCTCATGCCTGTGATCTTAGCTACTCAGGAGGCTGAGACCTGAGGATCATGGTTCAAAGCCACCCTGGGCAGAAAAGTCTGTGTGACTCTTACCTCCAATTAACCACCAGAAAACCAGAAGTGGTGCTATGGCTCAAAGTGGTAGAGCTTTAACCTGGAGCAAAAAACGTTTAGGAGCGGTTCTCAGGCCTAAGTTCAAGCCCCACAAGCAAAAAAAAAAAAAAAAAAAGAAAAAGGAAAATGAAACTGGGTACTGTATTAGCTATATAGGAGTCTGAGATCTGAGGATTGAGGTTCAAAGCCAGCCCAAGCAGCCCAAGTCTATGAGACTTTTATCTCCTACTAACTGGGTAGTCCCTGAGTTCAAGCCCCAGTATTCACATACACACACAAAAATGCAAACATAAGGAATGTGTAACATGTAATCAATTCATTCATCAACCCCTATTCCATGTCTTATTAATGTATTCCACTCTGTTTTCACAAATGCAGCTTCAAACTTCAAGTCGATTTTTTTTTTTTTTTTGGTCAGTCGTGGGGCTTGAACTGTGAGTTTGGGCGCTGTCCCTGTGCTCTTCAGCTCAAGGTGAGTGCTCTACTGCTTGAGCCACAGCGCCACTTCTGGTTTTCTGAGTGGTTTATTGGAGATAGGAGTTTCGCGGACTTTCTTGCCTGGGCTGGCTTTGAACCGCGATCCTCAGATCTCAGCCTCCTGAGTAGCTAGGATGACAGGCATGAGCCACCGGCGCTCGGCCTTTCAAGTAGATTTATATATTCATTTCCAACAAGATAGCTTCAGGCCACATGAGCTACATGTACATTTCATTTATTTACTTATTTACTTTTTGGTTGGTTGTGGGACTGAACTCTGGGCCTGGGTGCTGTTCCTCAGCTCAAGGCTGAGGGTACTGTTCCTGTTTGAAACTAGAGCTCTACCACCTGAGCCACAGAGCCATTTCTGGCTTTTTCTGCTTATGTGGTACTGAGGAATCAAATCCAGGGTTTCATGCATGCTAGGCAAGCACTCTACCACTGAGCTACATTCCCACAAGTTTTATGTAGTACTGAGGAATCGAACCCAAGGCCTCATGCATGCTAGGTAAGCACTCTACCACTAAGCCACATTCCCTGCCTCTCATGTCCATTCTAAAAACTGTTAAGTACCAATATTCCCAGTGATGTGTGGTGGTTCGCATCTACAGACTCAGCTACCTGGGAAGCATAGGATCATAGGGAAGCATAGGAGGATCATAGGATTTTGCTCTGAGGATAACTCAGGGAAAAAGTAGCAAGATACTCATATCAACATATAAGCTGGAGCCGGGCACTGGTGGCTCACGCCTGTAATCCTAGCTACTCAGGAGGCTGAGATCTGAGGATCTCGGTTCAAAGCCAGCCCGGG